ATAAGTTAATTATAAAATTAAACTTGCTATCTTGATTCATGCACTCTTTTATCATAGTGCTAACCTGAAACCTTCCATTTTTAATAATATTTGCAGATTTTGATTTTACTATGAGAAATTATGATACATGATCTGACTTGTTTTGATTGTTCTAACATTTTAACATAAGTATTTTTAAAAGAAGTAAAAGTGATTTTTTCCCCCTTGTAGATGTTACAATAACTGTGTAGTATATGATCTGACTTGTTTTGATTGTTCCAACATTTTAACACAAGTATTTTTAAAAGAAGTAAAAGTGATTTTTCCCCCTTGTAGATGTTACAATAACTGTGTAGTATGATCATAAAGGAATATGAGATTCATCACTGGAATAGAATATTATAAATAATTTAGATCATGAATAATAGCTAATATATTAAAACACATAAAAGCATATTATATCGAATCACTTATAATTGCTACTTTTAGTAGGGTAAAAGGTGGTCAGATTTTGGCAATTTTGTTTGACTCAGCTCATAATATATTAGTTAGGAGAGTCTGCACATTCCTGGTTTAATCAAAATGAAAGTGTGTAATAGCCCTGTGAGTTAGCGCTTAAAACCTAATGCCAATTCTTCTCTCCCTTGATTTAATGTCTGCTTTCAGGCAATTTGACTATGCTATAAGTCTATCTTAAAGTGGTTACGAATGGAAGAAGGAAAACAATAGTAACTACTTTAGTTACTTAGAGTTAAGTATTTTTGAAAATCCAGAAGTTAGGTTAGAATGACTCAGACCATGAAAAAAACCACGTTTGGGGGGATTGTCTACATTTGCTTACATGGATGACTCTGTCTCTGATGACCATATAAAATAAATATTTGAAGAGGCTATTAAATGCCTATGTTTCCAAATGAGATCAAGATGATATGAAATTTTTGAGAATATCTGCAGATTTTCAGCTGAAGAAGGAAAGTGGTTTACCACAGGACAAATCCTCCTCAGAGTCAGTAGATCTAAGTTCTCACTGAAGTTCAGTCACTGGCTGTCTGTGTGACACAAGCCAGTCCTCTAACCTGTTGGGAAGCATTTTGTTTGTTCACTTGACCGGCAACTCCTGGTGCACATATGCATTCACACTTGCTTAGCAGCCGCTCCATGGCACCCAGGAGCCCTCCCAGAGGTCAGAAGCCATTGGCTCAGAAAAGCTCTGTTAGCCCTTCTTGTCTCAAATTCTAATTCTTATTCATTTAAGCTAAGAGGAATTAGCAACAATTGAGGAAAAGCAAACAAATTAGAATTTGAAAACATGAAAGTGAGATTCACCACTCAAGCTGATGATTATTTATGAGTTCTTTCTATTTGGTGGCCATCAACCAGTCAGTGATATTGATGAGCCAGGATGTCCTGCTGGTGCTGGCTGCGGCCTGAAGGGAAATAATCCAGATAATTGCTTAATTAGATGCTTCTTAAAGAGAGAAGCTGGAACTCCCCAAGAAGCATGGTCCAGAGTAAGCATCTTTTCCACCATATTGCTTCAGTAAAACCGAAGGATGTTGTATGGATGGCCAGCCTCCCTCAGGTTCCATGTCTGCTGCCATGGACATATTCCTTTTAGCTCTTCCCTGGCAGTGGTGTCAGTGTCTGTCAGTTTTAGTTTTCACTGTTACGTATTCCGGATGATAATTTTCCAAGGAAAATAAATGAACTCTTAGCTACAAACATTGGAACAGGAGGGTCCTAGCAGGTGTTTCCTATGAGAGGCCACGTGGACAATGGTTAGGACAGACCGTCATGAGTGAGCCTGGGTTTGAATCATCTTATGTCACTTATATCTGATATTTTACATAACCTACAAAGTCTGTAACCCTAGTTGGGTTATTTGAATTTTCTATAACTCAGTTTGAGCAATAGTAAATCGAGGGTGGTGATAACAGGGTTGTGGTAAGGATTGTATGAGTTAATTTGTGTAAAGTACTTATGCCAATGCTGTGCACATTGTAAGTGGCATATTGCTGTGATTGCAATTTGCTATTATTACTGTCCTTTTTTTCACATAAAAGTTTTATTTTTATTTTTTGTAAATCCTAACTGGGTCTTTTAAACTGGTGTTGTGACTGAATTATCATAGCATGGTAAAAATATAACAAATATAAGCAGTGGCTCAGAAATCAAACCACATGCAACACATTGATTTTTTCAGCCAAATCTAGCCAAAGCACTGAATATAATTTTGGAGCTCTAATGACCAATTAATGTATTCTGGTTCCCCTATTCATTTTCTTTTTTCTGTTCTCCGGAGTCTTTATTTTTAGGGCTCTTTCTGTGAGCTGTATGTGTGCATATTTAATAATTGCCATTTTTATTCTCTTTATAGTATTAAATATTAAATGTCAGACAGAATACCTCCTTTAATTTCCCTTTGGAGTAATAAAATATTACCAGTAACTTTTTCTTGAGATCTATGGCAATACTCTTTGTCAAAACAGAAGTACTTAATAAAGTCAGGAATACACCTATGAAAAGCTCTTAGAATATTACATATTGGAGTAAATGAAATATATCAAAGCAAACATCTGAGAGGTGAATTGATACAGATTTGGTTTTAGGAAGCTCTCACACAACAGGCATTATGAGAAACTCCAATCACCAAAAAAATGTTTTAACGATTAATTTTAGTGATTTCATTCACAATGAGATTACCAACATGAATAAGAACAATTTATTTAAAAAATCTTATAACAGATGAAGTTTCTGATTGCTCAGCAGACACTTAGTCCAAACTCACAGATTTTGACATCTAAAAGCGTTGCTCTGAATATTTAATTTTACAGCATCAGTTTACATATGTAGACCAATGAAGTAACATTAGAGTATGAATTCCTATATAATCAACTTTCCTCACTAAAGGAGCTTCCAGGTATCTCTTAAGGAAAGTGCAGGGGAAGATATTAAAAATACTAACCTGTAGACCACAGACTCTGAGCAAGAGAAAGGGCACTGCCCCTAGAGCTGGAGCAAGGTGCTGGAGCATCCTGTCTCCTGGGCTTCACACCTTGGTGCTGAGTATCAGGGAGGTGAAGGGCTTCATGAAGGAGGCTGGGGAGGCAAGGAAGGATGAGCTTGTGGGAACTGGGACCCTAACTATTTACCAGCCTCTTCAGCCATGCAGTGCAGCCTAAGGAACTATATCTATTCACAGCATCCTGTGGGACATCATTTGAAAAGCTAAGCGTGATGAGGAAATACCCTTATTACCAAAAGGAGCTTTGAAGAATAGTCAATATTTATCTTTCCTTCATTGAGGTTGTTATATTCCTTGTTGGCAAGAGAAATTGTGGTAATTTGATTAAAGTTTCTCAAACTCAAAAAAAACCCAAAACACAGGTTGACTTAACCTGGAGAAAAATTTGTTTAAAATCACATTTTTCTTATATTTCACTATATAATATTTGCAATGTTTTTATGTTGAATTGTAGAAATAATTTTTACAATTATTTAATCCATTTGAATTTCTGGGAATAATCAAAGGTATTCTAAATGGTAATAGAGACGATCTGTAATTTACATTTTGGAGATCATGAGTCAAATTATTTTGAGTTTGTAATTTTAATAATATAAATGAATTTTTATTATAAATTTTGGTTTTTCAAAAATAAAATAATATATTTTTATCTCTGGGGGTAATCTAAGAAGGTATTTGTTATATCCATTATATCAAAATTCAAAATTTATGCTAATACTTTGTTCCAAATAAGATGTTTTGAAGAGAAAATCCAAAATTTTGTTTTAGAAATTTGTATTTTATTCAATTCAAAAGAGAAATCTAAGATGATTTATATCATTGTTTTTGGAATATCTATTATAAAAAATTAGAGGGCAAAAACAGTTTGTTAATTCCCAAAATGGATAAGTATTCATCTAAGGTATAATTCCATATTTATATATTTTTTCTTTTTTCATTATTTTCTTTTATTACTTCTTTAGATATATATTTCTTAAAACTAATTTTCTCTTTTATTTTCCTCTTTACAGTTCAAAACAATATTGAGGTACCAATATAGCTCTGAAAGAACTGCATTGTGGACAATTCTCTAGCAGATTAAATCCGTACATCCCTCCCTGGGCCGGATCATGCACCGGTGGGGTCCCTTGGCCTGGCCTGAGCCCTCTTGCTATTCGGGGCCCCTCAGGGGATGTCAGAGAACCAGTTTTACCCGATCCCTGCAGGCCAGGCCAAGGAACCCCATCAGTGCACGTGTGCACCGGGCCTCTAGTTTTTTTAATGAAGAGCTTAATTGATAATTATTATAATTTTAAAAAATTTTCATTGACTTTTATCTGCATGTAATTATGCAAGATTTTATGGGACCTACAAAGATACATAAGAGAAAAATCTCAGGCCCCTAGTATCTTATAACAAGCAATGGGCAATCAGACATGATGTGACCTACATAGATCACTAGGCCACAAGCTATCTATGTCATGAGACCTATGAGGAGAAGTTGGCATGTAGAGGTGGTTTCTCTATAGAGCTCATCAGGCTATTAGGAGAATGATGGGAGGTCTAACTATCTCTCTCTTTTTGTTAAAAGCTAATAAAGTCCAAGGACTTCCTCACCCATTTACCATCTGTCTATGCTCTTCCATAGACATGTTCATTGCCCTCAGTAAAGGATGTACATGCAGTGAGAATGTACACACCAATGTCCTCTTTGCCACACATTGCACTAACCAAGGTCATTTGTAATATTTTTGTTGTTAATGTCTTGCTCTGTAATCATTATCTTAATTTCCTTAAGGGAAACTCTTTGAGAAGATGCTATCATATCTTTTTTCTAATTGAGAGACAGCACTTAATTTACTTCTTTTTTCATCTTTCTTTTGGTGAATGTGCCTTAGGGTAGGTACTTGGCCAGGGGTAGTAGACATTTAATATACTAGCACAGATGACATGCACTCTCCACTGTCTGTGTGTTCTTATGTCTGATGTTCTTTAACAAGTGTCTTGTTCCTTGCAGGACGGTTCTGTTCACTCTGACTTCTGTGGTTGTACTCGTCATTACAACTGACTGGATCAGCTGGGACAAGTTGAATCGGGGATTTTTGCCTAGTGATGAAGTTTCCAGAGCTTTCCTGGCTTCTTTCATCTTGGTCTTTGACCTCCTGATTGTCATGCAGGTAAGTGTCTTTGTGTTTCCCTCTTCTCATGGAAGCTGTGCTGCGCTTTGTTCTCAGTCTAGCAAACAAACACTATGCAGGGAAAGGCTCCATAAAGCTAGAGGAGGGCATCCTTCACAGTTGCTATTAATGGGGCCTCCTCTGATCATATTTTCAGCAATTTTTCCAGGATAAGCCAATTAGGTTTTTATGAAAGGGGCACCAAAAATTCATTGAATGAGCATTGCAAAGTGGGCCCCTAGAAACCATACAGCATGGTGGTGTTTCCTGCCAAGGCTTCAGGGGAAACAAAGCAAAACAAAACAAACAAAACACAAAAGACCCCCTGTCATTCAGTAAATGGAAAGCTGCAGAGATGAGGATGATATAGAGCCAGCAAAATGGGAATAAGCAATTGCCAAAGCAACTCAGGGTTTATAGCAGTTGAAATGGAATGATATAAAAATGCTCTTTCAGTTATGGAAATTATCACTTTCTTTCCGGATTCACCAGAGGTCCTTCTATTTTTATGTAAACAATATTTCTGCCCTGCTTAGCAACAGACTGTTTGTACAATAGCATCCTGCTAACCAGTGCTGCTCATGTAATCTTCCAGTGTTAATGCTTTAGGATCTTAGGAGTGTCCTTTGAATGGGACAAAAAGAGACATTAACTATTTCTTGGCATTTTATCTTGCTCATTAAATGTCCTTCCATTTACTAGACATTTTTGTGTTGCTTTCATAAGGTAATTTTGTTTTTTTTCTTCCCAAGGCATTATGTTATTAGAACAAAGGCTCCATTGCTGAAGGGAAAGTATAGTCCTTTGTGTTCTGAATTTATGTGAGATTTCACAGGATAGCAGATTGGTTTTCTCATTTCTAGAGGTAAAAAGAGACCATTTTAAGAAATATTCTGTAGTGTTTAAATAGAGAAAAAGGAGAAAAACAATCTATTTTTTTTTATATAATGTAGCTCAAACATTAGGTTCAACATGGTTCCTGGAGTATATAGCTATTTTAATGGATGATAACTTAAAAACATCATTGCTTTAAAAATTATTTGAAGATATAAAATTAAATTCTTTGTTGCACCTAAAAATTGATGTATTTATCATTTCTTCCACATAGTGGACAAAGCCCTGGGTTTTGAGTGAGAAAGTATTGGTGGGTTCCATATCTGCCTCTCCTTACTGTAGAACGTCCTCTGGATGTTTATAAGACTGAATTTATAGTACTTATGCAATGATGCATAATACATTGCTTGTTTAAAGGCTATTTTTTCTCTTTCCATCTAATACTCCTAATATACTTCCTTAAGTGAAATATCTGCTTTGGCCAAGTGGCCCACTTGTACCTCTTTGAATCCATTTTAGAGTCAAAGGTATAAGTAGACAAGTGCATCACTGTCTTTTGAATTTGTTCAAACGTGTATTTGTGAAAGCAAAAGTTTTCTGATTTCCTACTACCATCCACTACCTCTACCTTATTTAAATAGTTTAAATTATTCTTCCTCTAGTTCACTAAAAGCAGGGACTTGAAGTGGGAAGACATTACAATGTACAGATATTATCACTCACTCAAAAATTACCTAAAGGAGAGAGGTGGAAGAAAGGAAGCATAGTCAGAATTTCTACAGGCGGAATCAGCAAGATTGGGCAGGGGAAAATATTCTAGATCATTGGTTCTCAACCTTCCTAATGCCGCGACCCTTTAATATAGTTCCTCATGTTGTGGTGACCCCCAACCATAAAATTATTTTCGTTGCTACTTCATAACTGTAATTTTGCTACTGTTATGAATCGTAATGTAAATATCTGATATGCAGGATGTATTTTCATTGTTACAAATTGAACATAATTAAAGCATAGTGATTAATCACAAAAACAATATGTAATTATATATGTGTTTTTTTCCGATGGTAGGCGAACCCTGTGAAAGGGTCGTTCAACTCCCAAAGGGGTCGCGACCCACAGGTTGAGAACCGCTGTTCTAGATGAAAGAAATGGCATGAAAATGTTTACTGATTAGTAAAGTGTTGAAGTGATCAGAGTAGTCAGAGCACCAGATGACTGAAGATAGTTTGCACTGAGGAATATATCATTTTTGCTACAAATAACAGTAACCCTGCCAAGCTAGCTTAATCCAAGGGGGAATGTATTCCTGTGTCATAGGATGTCCTACAGAATCAGGGGAGGGATGCATTTTGGAGACACATGAAAGCCAAGACTAAAGTGTAAGAGGGAACCCAGACCTACCTTTTCTTCTCTGCCTCTCATACTTTTTTATCCACCTCTGCTTTATTTTTCTCTTTCTATAAAGCAGCTTCTTCAACTTGCCAGCTCACAGATGGACACAACCAACACCTCATAGGGAGACCACTCTCTAGGTGCCTAATTCCAGATTCCTGGCACAGGATTGAACTGTGCCCATCTGTGAACTGTCTGGAAGTGAGGCAGTCCCCCTCCCCCGCCTCCCCACCCCTAAGAGGAGAGAGGTTGGACCTCAACAGCCAAGTTAGTAGTTATCTAATACAAAGTGTAAAAATTAAGGCCCCCAAAGTAAGTTTTTTAACTCCTCTTTCTCTCCCCCGACACTGAGTCAGCTAGCCAAGCCTATTGATTCATCTTTTGCTCTTTCTCTTGTAGCTTAATCCTTCCTTCTCATTCCTCTGCCACTATTCCAGTCCTGTGTATCCTCTGTATTATCTATATATATAAATACCTAAGCAACCGTTACGACCGAACGACCAGAATGACTGGTTGACCAGCTGCTGTGACACACACTGACCACCAGGGGGCAAACGCTTGACACAGGAGCTGCCCCTGGTGGTCAGTGGGCTCCCACAGCAGGAGTTCCACTCAGCCAGAAGCTGGGCTCATGGCTGGTGAGTGCAGCTGCAGTGGCGGTGGCGGCAGCAGGAGCAGTGGGACCAGGATGAGCGGCAGTGGAGCTGCGCCCGGCCCCGGCTGGGGTTCCTCCCTAGCTGCTTGCTGCGTCAGCACTGCTACATCCCTCAGGGTCCCAGATTGCAAGAGGGTGCAGGTCAGGCTGAGGGACCCCACCTGTGCACAAATCTGTGCACTGGGCCTCTAGTAATAAAATAATCTACCTTTGGAACCTTCTGCCTCCAAATGTCCCGGGTCCCATATACCCTGTGCATAATCTTCTAATCTGAAATACCATGTTGTATGTGTCACTTCTTAGCCAAAAATAGTCAGAGACTCTTCATTGTCCAAGAAAGTAGTCAGTGACTCCTCATTGTGAGTGCCCTCCACAGTCTGGCCCTGACTGTGTTTTCTCCCACGTCTCCGGTGTTCTAGCTCTACCCTAGACCAAAGGGCTTTTTTCTTGGCCCTTGACAACAGCACACATTTTCCAGGATGTCTCTGAGCCTCTGTTTCCTCCCCAAATGAGTCTCCCTTCTACTGTGCTCATCTAGATCCTACCATTGAGGACTGTTCCAACTCCCCTTCATTGCAGCCATGTGATTACTTCCTGCTCTTAACTTCTTGGAACTTTGTACCTGGACTGCAAATCAGCATTTCCTGACCTATAGAGCAGAAGCCATTGCTTGTAACTATCTATCCCAGGAGGCTCCCTAGCACACGGGCAGCCGTAGGCCCAGAGTAATAACTGCTTGATGAGGATAAAGAAGTCTCATTTCAGCACTGAGTCTCCTGTAAACCCTGTCCCCTTTGGAAGCATCATATTGTAGTTCTGGGAACTAATGCATGTGGTAAGAGAGTGAGTTTAAAGAAACAGAGCCCCAGAAGGCTTCTAGATTCCAGACATTTAAAAATATAAAATACAAATATCCTAACAAGACTCTAACCAACTAAACTGTGATCTAATCCATTCCATATTCACATATTGCAGACAAAGGAAAAATAGAAAAGTAGCAAAATTAGTGGAAAAAGAGCCAGTACTTTCACTAAATGTTTGTCCTCATTCAAGTTATTCAAGTGGTGTAAAAGCAATTAACCCTATGCTTTTCTAATGATAGAAAAATGTAACTTACACTTCCAAAAGATATTTTAATGTTTGGTAAAAAATAAAATAAAAAGTAACCATAAGAATATAGTACTATCGCTGTAAATTTTTAATTTTACCAAAAGCAGCCATCTGATTCTGAATATTTGTAGTGAAAGTAGAATTATTTTTATGAGTATGTATTATAGGATTTTTCTACATTTAGTGTGAAAACTATTTGTTGTATCACATTTTTCTGAAGTTCTAGTCAAGTCTCTAGAACTAAGGCAAAAACAGATGCCAGTTAAATATAACATGACTCATTACTAATCACCCATTATTACAGGATATAAGAAGAAAATTATAAAGAACACTTCCTCAAAGGAAGTTTTAGCTCAGATTCTATTTAATATTTATAATTATAGCATTGATGTTATTATACTGCTTCAGTTCATTAAATATTTAATTTGCAGTTATGTCCCACCCATTCATCTCCTTTGCTTGATTGAAGAACAAATATATCTAAGATATATGAATTAAAAATATAATGTATCATAGAGTAAGCAAAGAAAACAAAGTCTTAGGGGAGAGAGAGAAAAAGAGAGAGAGAGAGAGAGAGAGAGAGAGAGAGAGAGAGATCAGAGTAGACAGAGTAGTAGGAGAAAGCTTCAAAGGAGAGAGAGAAGGGCAGGCAGCTAGAATTTGAAAAGGCAGAACAATGAACAAGAAGAAGTTTTTGAGCTGAAACTAGTATCATACTCTCCAAGGTAAGAACTCAGTTTTGTCCCATTAAGTTCAGAAAACATTTAGGAACTCATTCCTAGTGTGCATCACCTCAGGTGCTAGAGACAGAAGTCAGGGGAAAGGAGATCAAAGATCATGACACAGTCCTCAGGAGTTTGAAGTTGCGCAGAGGAATTAATAATTTAATAGACTGAACAGGAGTAGAAAAGTAGAGACATTTTAGAAGGAATTATATATTTGGAAGAACTATTCAGGTAGAAATTAATCATTTCCACCTTTGCCACTTTTAAATTCATCTCCCCCACTG